TGACTCATAGGATTAGTCATTATGAGTCATAGCATTAGTAATTAACGATTAGTAAGCTAGTATTACAGAAAATAGGATTAATAAGCATATATTATTGGACAAAATATTGTAAAAGTCATGTTATTTGTAATACCTCAAGAGGTATAAATAGGCTTGGTTTTAGACCAAGTGAGAATAATCATGTTCATGATACAGTAATAATAATAATATAATAACCTTGTAACAGAAATATTATTGCTAATAAAGACACATAACACTTTTACAATAAATTAAGCTTCTAATAATACCTTGATAAACCTTTGCTGAAAAGCATACCTCACCTCAAATTAAGACCATACTAACTAAGGGACGCCTTAGTCAGACAGTGGAATATCTATTGATTATTTTTAGGCTTTGCCAGCAGTACTTCCATTAGTACTGTAGAGAGAGATTGCGCAATAGAGAGAGAGAGATTTGAGTAGGCTCTGAGCTGTGTGCGGATACAGAGGCCTGGTATAGAGTATTGAGAACCCTGAGCTGTGTGCGGATACAGGGAGATTTATATATTGGAATTTTATTTTATTTTATCTTATATGGGACATGCTGCAACAAAACCAGACAAAGTGAACATTGGTATTATTAAGAATTTCAGGGATCAAAATTTAGTAATGTGATTATTAAAATCACCATTTGTTACCCTCTTAATATTAGGTGATCTATAGAATTACCTCTATATAAAAATAGTTAATATGAATTAATTTATATCAGGTCTACTATGGAACCCAAGAATTACAGCACCATTAGAAGTATTTTGAAGAAGGAACAAGGTGAAAAAATTGCACCTTATATTTTCAAAATAAATGATACTCAGGAACTTGAAGCTTATCTAAGGAAAGAAAAGATTACTTATGAAATTTACCAAAAAGAAAGAAAAATAATAAATGTTGGAAAAAGAAAACATCATGATGATGCATTATTACCTAATAAAAAGCAGAAACCCTTAGAAGGAAAATAACTACCATTTTCTTTGATAGTTGGAATGAATTTCAATTTAGAGAGGAAATTACTTTCTTATTTTCAATCAGGGTCATTTCTTAGTTTCTTTAACTTCAATTTGAGCAATTTGACCATTCTGTTGATCTTTTAATTTCCTGTTTTCTTCTTCTAGATGATTAATTTTCTCTTCTAAACTTTTTATTTTATCCAATAACTCTTGTTTCTGTTTTTTACTTCACTCTTCCGATTTTTCCTGGAATTTGGCTACTTCTTCTCTTTCAATTTTTAATTCTTCTTTGGTAATTGATAACTCTTTTTCTAGTTCTCTAGTTTTATTTTCTAGGTGAAAACTGAAAGTTTGTGAAAGTAGTTCTTTGTCAGAAAGTGGTTTAGTTGATTTAGCTTTTAAATGACTACAAAAACATCTGTTTCTATTCCTTTTTAACCTACCACATTTCTCACATCATGGAAGAGTATTATTATCATAATCGTTTTTACATTCACCACAGATAAATACAATGTCAGAATAACCATCAGGAGTATTAGAAGCCACCATTTGATGAGTAGCAGGAGCAGTATCAAAATTAAGGAGAGTTGGGTCATCAAAATCTAGAAAACAGAAGTTACACTCTTGTTCATCTCCCTGGGCTATTTCCAGAATTCTATATTCTAATCTCATATTGGTTTACTTGTTCTTTTGAACAATAAAAGTCTGGAATTTCTCTTTAGCCTTTTCTTTTACTTTACTTATTAATTTTTTGAGTTTGCATAATCTATTTTCTTTTTGTTTCTTTGGTAAAGATGGTAATTCTTTGGTTGTTAAATAATCTTTTCAGTTTATTTTCTGATTTTTAGCAGCTAAATTATTTTCTAATAAATCTATTTGGTCTTGAAGTTTGCCCATTGCAGCATCATGCTTCAACACAGTTTCAAACATTTGTCATTTTCTCCATTCCATGGCTTTATTCAGTGCTTTTTTAGCCTCTTCTCGCTCCATTCACACTTCATCATCTAACTCTTCTACTAAACTTATGTTTTTATAAAGGTGTTTAATTAGTGAGGAAAGTGAGATATGTTTTATTAACCCAAAATTTATCATTAAATGTAGATCATTTGTCCCGATTCATAGACAGATCACCAATTAATTTTGATTTAATTAGGGCATTGCACACCCTAATACATTACATACATAGGGGTTCATACATTACTTTTTTTCGGTATTACCCTTTTACACTTTTCCCATCTTCATGATCTAGTTTACATACTGGGCATAATGACCCCTCATTAATTCCATAGTAATCAAATTTTTCAGCAATAAATGTTTTATATAGATCTGAATATCACAACAATATCTTATTATGAAAGTAAGCATGGTTATGGGTTGGATTATTCTGTTTCTTGGGTAAAGTCTTTGTTTCAGTTTGAGGTTGAGATGCTGATAATGCATTTACCTCAGTTTCCAATAAAGCCTTTTTGGGATGAGATACAAGTGGTATACTTACCTTGGCTTCTGGTAAGTTCTTTATTTTCACAGAAGAGTTAGAGATTTGAGGTTTGGTAGATATACTTACCTCAGGCAAAATTTCGGTTTCATGATTTTGGTGACAGGATGTTGTTGAAATTTCAGTCATGTGATTTGATTCCTCCTCTATATTGAACTCATCACGATCAGAAATATTATTATTATTGATAATCTTTTGAATTTGATCATTGGTCAACTCTGAAATAGAATTTGTGCTATATGTTTTAAGGTACTTAATTTTATCTTTGCCTATTTTTTCAAATAACTTATATGTCTTTACAGCCCTTTGGGTTTTTCTACATAAAGTTTTACATGAGATTTCTGGAAGCTGTAATCCTATTTCCTTGGATCTTTTTTCACAGATAATAGTAATATTTTATCATAAATTATACCTTTTGCCTTTTTCTCACCAATTTTGCTATTACTATTTTTCATAAGATCATTATACTGAATTATGAATTCATTTCCATAGTTGATCCAGCATAAGGTTTCTTCCTGGTTAGCTTTCATAGCATAATATTCAGCATTAGTTGCTTTATCAAATAATTGAGCTAAATCAAGTAATGAGATTGTATCAGAATTTTGACGATGGCCCATCACTGAAATTTCAGTCACATGATTCAAATCTGAATGGATATTATCAGTGGAGCTGTGCGCAAGTTCATCCTGAATGCCATCAGCTATCACTTGAGCAATATTCTCAGTTCCCTTTTTCTTGTGTGATTCGTTCTGGCTTTTACTTTGATTTTGATTCTTGGTTTTTAAGTCCAGAGCTTCAAAGACTTCAGGTGAATCATCATTAGAAATTGATATTTCAGATGGTATCAGTGGAGTTGACATTGGTAAAGAGGTATTATGTGACCCTTGAGTTTGAAGTTTCTTTTCCTTGCTCCTCTTTCTCATCATATCACTAACCTCTTTCTTACTCTGCGCATCTAGGAAATTATCAGTCTCTATATCTTCTAACAATTTAGACTTGGATGGGGGTGCACATATATTGGAAGAAATATCGGATGATTAAGGTTGTGGGCGAAACCTCTTAGTGACTAGTTGAAACTCTGTCAAAACTCTAATAAACAATTAATGTGCAACCTGTTGAAAATCTGTCAATTGTCGAAACCCCCAAAATGCAAAACTCTAATAAACAATTAGTGTACAACATGTCAAAACTCCGCGACTGATTTCTGGAAGAGTTTTGCCCACAACCTTACAGACGATGCTTCGTGGAGAACAGAATTTTCTAATTCGTGTGTAATATTGTTTGATGACTGTTCTAATTTCACAACCCTGGTATTAAGCTTATTGTTCTCAGCCTTGAGGTTAGTAGTATCTATTTTATTTTTCTCTAGCTCCTCGATTCTGGCCTTGAGCTCAGCATTTTCAGCTTCTCACTTGGCATTCTCTTCCATAACCTGTTTTAAAAGCTCGGCATTCTTGGTTTCAAGCTCAGAAATTCATTGCTTTAGTGAATCAATTTCAGATTGCATGTTTTAGTAATGGATTTTTTATATCTTATTATTTATTTAAAATGTAACTAAAGTATCAAATTTTTGGCGACGGGCCGTCGTCAAAGATTCCAAAAAATATGAATCAAATATGTTTATCACAGGGTATCTGTAACAATCCCTGAATTATTATTGATCACAAAAAAAAAATATAATAATTCTAATTTGGTAAATTCCTTTTATATTATTTATATTATGTTGATCATTTTTCAATTGTTTTAGAATAGACAATGGGTTACACTTATGAGGTGGGCGCAAGTACACTAAATAACAACCTTTCAAATTTTACAAGTATACTCTTTTCACTTCAATATTCCTGGATCCACCTGGATCCATTCGAAGTAACAATTTTTATTTCTTGATTTACAAGTCATTACTAAAATGCCTGTTGGTTTTTGTTCTGTTTGCAAAATAGAAAAAGATGACTCTAAATGGTGAAATATTTCAGAACAAGGAAAAGAAAAAGCTGAACTAGTAGGTTATGAATTAAATATAGGCGAAAGAATATGTTCTAAATGCTATAATTCTCATATAGCATATGATAGACATAATAGATATAAAATCTGAAGATGTGCCATATAAAATAAAAAAACCAATTGGAATGGAAGTAGAAGCAAATACTAGTTTACAAAATCAAATTATAGAATTAAAAGCAGAATTAGAAAAGATTACTAGACCATCAAATCAATATATTAAAGGTATATTAATTTAATATTAAATAAATAAATTATTAAAATATTAATTAAATGAATTATTAAAATATTAATTAAATAAATTAATCTTATTACTATTATTTTGTTTTTTAAAATTAATTTTATTATGCCTATTTTGTTTTTTAAATATTTTAATATTACTTATTTAATTAAATAAATTAATTTTTAGATGGCATGCAATTTTCTGATTTTTTTAACAACCAAACAAAAAGACTTTCTTCTGTTTTATACAAGTATCAACATCGTGAAAAAAATGTAATCATTAATGATCCTGATGAATTTGTGAAAATGATTGAAGAAAGAGATCCTTCATTAAAAGGCTTTTTTGATATGCTATATCAAAGCATGAACCCTTCTTCAAAAAATTCCTCTACAGAAATAAGC